GTGGTTCGTGATGGTTTAAATATTTATCCTGATATATTCTACCCTAACTTCTTCTAAACATACATTCACACATTCACACTTAAAAATATAAACAAATTTGTGCACAGCTTTGTATATCATTCCTTCACTCACAAACACACTTACTATAATTAAATTCTATGGAATAATTTCGTTTTCTTTAGAAAACGAATAATTATTTGTATGTGTTTACTCCCTAAATTTTTCCTCAGTATATCTAATAAATTAACCTTCTCCTTAATGTCTTCAAACTCTCTTCTCATATATCTTCTCTCTCTTTCATATTTATGACAGTCTAATATAACATGTTCTATGGTTTCATATTTATCACAGAAATCACATTTGCCCGTTTTATGTTTTTGTATTTTAAAAAGTGTATAATTAAGTCCTGTATGACCAAATCTTAACCTTGTTATCACTCTTTCCTCCTTTCTATTTCTTCTTCCATTTCTTCTTTCTCCTACCATCTTCTGAATTTTATAAAACCATCTTCCTGTTTTATCTTCATCCCACCTTTTTTGCCAAATTTCCATAAGTTTCTCTTTAATAATACTCTTTCCTTCTGATTTACTTATTTTAACTATAAAACTAATAGAATGTTTAATTGCCCTTTTTGCCATTTTATCTGCCCACTCGTTTCCTTCTACCCCAATATGTGCTGGAACCCACACAAATGTAACTATCAGCCCCATGTTTCGTATTCTGAACAGTGTATGATTTATTTCTAATAAAATGTCCATCCTACTATCTGTTTGGTTATTTTTTAAACTTAACAATGCGGAGCTTGAATCTGAACAAATGACTGATTTTAACGGTTTTATATCTTCTACCCATTGTAATGCTAATAATATTGCCAACATTTCTCCTGTGTATACTGATAATCCATCTGTAATCCGTTTTCCTATTTTTATATTGAATTCTGGTACTACAAATGCTATTCCTAATTTCTCAGTCATTTTTGATGCATCGGTATAAATTTGAATATATTGATAATAACTGTCTAAATATAACTGTACTAAATTGATATCTACCGTGTACGATTTATCTTGTTTCTTTTCCATTAGTGACATATCTACTGTTGCTTCTGGTAGAATCCAGGGAGGTATAATTGATATTGGTGTTGTTTGACTCATTTCTAAACTATTCATTTTAAATTTTTTAATTTTATTTTCAATTGTCCATCCAAAACTCCTCATTTCTTTCTTTTCTTTTTCCCAGCATGGATTTAAAATGTCCAAAGTTGGGTGATCCCCTTTATTTCCTTGTAAATTTAACCAGTAATTGATTTCTAATTTTGTTCTTCTTAAATCTAATGGCATTTCTCCCATTTCTATTTCTAATGCTGCTGTTGGTGTGGTTTTAAATGCTCCAGTACATAATCTTAGTGCCTGATGTTGGATAATGTCTAATTTGGTTAGATGTGTTTTAGCTGCTGAACCGTAAACTAAACAACCAAAGTCTATGTTGGATCTTATCATACTTGTGTAAATCTGTTTTAGTGATTTCCTATCTGCTCCCCAGTCACTGCCAGCCAAACATCTCAAAATATTCAAGATTTTCTTACATTTATCAACAACTTTTTGTATATGTATATGCCATTTTAATTTTTCATCAAACCATAATCCTAAAAATTTTATACACTTTACCTGCTCTAACTCTTGTTTATATAATTTTAATTTTATTTCCTTGTTTATTTTTTTCTGAGTAAATAACATTACTTTCGTTTTATCAACTGAGAATTTAAATCCCCATTGCAACGCCCATTTCTCTATTTCAATAATAACCTTTTGTAATTTTTTAACAATAAAATCAACATTTTTCCCTCGTTTCCAAACAGCTCCATCATCTGCAAATAGTGAACACCCCATGTCTTTTTCAATATCTTTAAATACATCGTTTATCATAATTGAGAACAAAAGTGGACTTATAATACTCCCCTGTGGAGTTCCATTTTCTACTTTATATTTTCCTGAGGTAGTTTCTCCTATTCTAACTTGTATTTTCCTACCTGTTAAAAAGTCTTTAATCCATTTAAATATTCTCCCTTTAATACCAATCTTGTATAATTTAATTAATAATCCATCCACCCACATCATGTCATATGCCTTTTCTATATCAAAGAATATAGCCACTACACTTTCTTTATTTACTTGTGCTCTTCTAATTTCGTGCTCTAAACAGAGCGTTGGATCGTTAGTGCTCCTCCCTTTTCGAAAACCACTTTGATATTTTGATATATATCCTTTACTATTTAGATAATATACTAGTCTATTATTAATCATTTTTTCCATTATTTTACATAAATTAGATGTTAAGGCTATTGGTCTGTAGTTTTCTGGGTTTGAATGATCTTTCCCTGGTTTGGCTATTGGTATAATAATTGATTCCTTCCAGCTCAACGGTAATTTTCCCTCCTCCCAAATTTTATTATATAGGTGTAATATTATATCTTTAGATTTTTCACTAAGTTGCCCTATCATTCTATACCAGATTTGGTCTTTACCTGGTGCTGTGTTTTTTGTCTTTTTAAGTGCATTGTTCAATTCCGTTTTTGTAAACTCAACATTTAACAAATTATTTGTTTCTTCACCGCTCTGTATAAAATCTTTATATTTAATTTTTGTATTTTCTCTACCTTTTCTTCCATTTTCACTAATATTATTTGAACTATGAATTTTACTGAATGTTCTTGCCAATATTTCAACTTTATCTTCATCTCTTATTACGTTTGTATCATCTATTTTTAGAACAGGATAGTCAAACTCTCTTTTAATACCATTCATTATTTTGATTACTTTCCAAATTTTCTCTATTTTTGTTTCTTTCCCTATCGTATTACAGAATTTTTTCCAATATTCTCTTTTTGCATTCTTTATAGTTCTCCTTACTATTGCTTGTTTTCTTTTATAATCAATTAAATTTTTATAAATTGGATTATGTTTGAGTGTCTTAAATGCTTTATTTCTTAACTTTATTGCTTCTTTACACTCATTTGTCCACCATGGAACCATTTTCTTATCGTTCTTACTCCCTGATTTCTTTATAGAATTATCTGCTGCTTCCATTATTATTTTACCAATTATTAAATTTAAATCATTTATATCCATACTCATGTCTACTTTTTCTAAGTTTATTTGACTCAAATATCTAAATTTAGTCCAGTCAGCCTTATTAAAATTATACTTTTTCCCAATTTTAATATTCCTATTATTTAAATTTAGCCCTACTCTTACTATTATGGGGTAATGATCGCTACCTATTGTAGATTTTTTATCAATAAACCAATCACAAATACCAGCTAAAACATTTGAGACAATTGTTAAATCAATAACTGATTCCATCCCTGTTCTTATATTGATTCTTGTTCCCTTTCCATCATTAATACATACTAGATTTTTCATTTCCATTATTTCTTCTATAACTTGTCCGTTTTTATCATTACATTTACCCCACACTGTACTATTTGCATTAAAATCTCCACACCAAATTACCTTCCCTTCCAAATATTCAGTTAACTCCTCCATTATTTCAATCGATAATGTTTTACATGGATTATAAAAATTTATTATTTTTAATTTACCTTCTTTTTCCCATATCTCAATTACTACATATTCTAGTTCTTTCCCTTTCCCCAATATCTGATATTGTATTCCTTTTTTGATAAATATTGCACATCCTCCTCCACTTCCCTCTGCTCGATCTCTTCTTACACTATCATATCCTTTAATCACAAAATCTAATGATGTTTTTAACCATGTTTCCTGAACACAAATAATTTCCGGTTTTTCTTCCAGCTCATCAATATAACCTTTAAGTTCCTGTCCATTAGCGATTAAACTTCTAGCGTTCCATTGTAGTCCGGTTAACTTTTTATCCATCTCTATCTTTTATGTCTGTTTCCCTCCTTTTTTTACACACCGCTCGTTCCCCTCCCCCACGTACACGAGACCCCTCGTCCTTAAAGGGACAGGCGCTAATTTTGCACCCGCTACACATATCTTTTGCTAAGTTCCTCAAAGGATTCCAATTTTTTCCCAATGAAACAGTCCTTAAAGTAAGTCCCCTCTGCTGCCACTCTAGAAACACCCCATCCTGAACAGATGGTTTAAAAAATGGTTACTTAAGAAGGAGAAATGGTGGAGTTTAAAGTATTTCCTAAACTGGCCCCATATTTTCAGCGAGTGTTTCACTACTGGGTTTAAAGTAGGGTTAGATGTGGAGAGTGAGAGTGGGGAACACAGAACGGCCGGGATGGACAAATTGTTACCACTGCGTAGCTCCATAGCCACCCAGTCAGGACAGCCCCCTCGATTATGATAGAAATACCAAAACACTAGGCATCTACGATTGGCAGCCCAGTGATAGAACGGAAAATTGGGGAAGGCAAACCGTCCTTGCTGTGTTGGTTTTTGGAGTTGTAATTTATTAAGCCTTGGGCATTTACCCTGCCAGATAAAAGATGAAAAAGTTGAGTCTAGCTCATTAAAAAAAGTATTAGGAATACAAATAGGTAATGCCTGAAAAAGGTATAGAAATTTGGGCAGTATATTCATTTTAATTGAGTTGATACGTCCCACAAGGGACATGGAAAGGGGTGTCCACTTTGTGAGGGATTCCTTTACTTGGTTCAACAGCTTAATCACATTCTCATTAAGCAAATTTTTATGCTTTTTTTTCACTGTGATACCAAGGTATATATTTTTTTGTCTTTCAATACTAAATGGCAGGTTCAGTGAATTGTTTTTGAACTTTTTTGGAATAACTATGAAATGGATCACAGTGAATCTTCACCAGCATATGATGTAACTGCTTTAAAAGCTAAAATCAAGATTTAAAAAATAAATGAAATGTTAGTCATAGTTTTTGGCTCTGCTGATAGATTTTTGTACACTTGGTGCGCAGCAAATATCTTAGTAGTTTACGTTTGCTTTGTTTGTTACTGAATAACTACACAGGCCGTATTCTCTTCCCATTGAATGTAGCAGAGGACAGGAGCACGGGGCCCCTTACCCTGAAGGAGAAGGGCCGCGTCATCAAGGTTAGCAGCTTTCTCTCATGATTGATCCATCCTCACCCTCAGCTTTCACTGACTCTGCTCATCATTCCTGTGAGCAGGGCTTATGGCCGTTCGTCCTTCCACTGGGTCTGGTCTACTTTGCTGAGTACTTCATCAACCAAGGCTTGGTAAGCTCTTCGGCGCCCTCTAGCCTCACACCTGATTAACTGCACTCTGTCATTATGTGTAAAATGATTTTCAGATTTAGCCATCATGGAGAACTGGGGATTTATTTAAAGAAAAAGTTACTACAAACATTAATGATTATTAGAGAATGAAATAAAATATATTTTATGCTATTTCACAGATGGAGCTCCTGTTTTTTCACAACTTTTTCCTTTCACATGCAGAGCAGTATCGCTGGTTAGTGAGTTTCTTCAATTTTTAAAAATGTTTCATTTTAGGTCTGCTTTTACACTGCAAAAAAAATATCTAAAAATAAGTAAAAATCTCTTTATAAAGTGTATTTGCCCTTGATTCAAGCAGGTAACTAAGAGATTTTTTCTTTCTCATTTTTAATGTAAATCTATGGAGCCCCAGAACTGACATGGGAGAAAAAAAGAGATACAGCATGGGCACGAAATTCTAAATTGTTCCCATAAAATTACTAATTTGTTCTCAAGACTCATTTGTGGCAACAAAATATATAGAAGTAGTGCACAAAACACTATAACATAATCTTCGTACACCTTCACAAAGGAACTAATCGTGATATAATATAATTTTAGGAGCCAGGTTGCTTCACAGGCAGACGTACAACTTGGATGCTAGGATATATTTTATTGTTGACCAACTGCAAGGTTGTGGAAAGGACCACAGTTATCAGTGGATGTATGCTTAGTGAGTACAGCATGGTAGACGTGGCGTCTAGCTTATCCAAAACCTATGCGTAACTTATTAAGAACGTATGCATAACTTCTCTCCGACGCATATCAGCGTATCCGACGTGTTCCAGAGGAGCGCTGAACGTGTTTCTAACTTCCAGCTACTGTATAATAGCGTATTGGCAGCGTTTTGGTATAAAGGGGGTTCACAGGAGGAACGCCTGTCAAAGAGGACGTTAGGATCCTCCTCTCTCTGCTGGACCTTAATTGTTCTCAAGTTCTTTTAAAATTCTATACAAATAATTCTCACTAATGAGATTTCCTTGTAACATCAAACTTCTCAGAATGTCTTTGTAAGACTACAAAGTTGATTGTTCCAACAAATTAGACAGGGGATCAGGCTGTCTCTGTCCATCATGTTTAGTTCCTTTGAGAAGGTGTTCTGTGTGTAGAAAGATTAAGTTTTAGTATTGTGTGCCCTATTTATATATATTTTCTGGTCTTTTATTTCTTTCTGAGTTTTTATGGCACTAGTAGCCCAGAGACATTCAAGAAAGGACGACAGGCCAGATTCGAACCCAGGTCACCCGCGTTGAAGACTAAGGCCTGCATACATCGGTCGTCTACACTAACCACTGCGCCACCAAATAATACCGAACAAATATTTTGTGTGCACGCTGTATCTCTTTTTCCTCCCATGTCAGTTCTGGGGCTCCGTATAAATCATTTTATCGTTGGTAAACTGTATTACTCACCTGCTCAAAACAAGGGATAAGAATATTCTTATATATAAGAATAAAATAATATTTCATTCTTGCAGTATCTTCAGCTTGAAGGTTCTCCTTGTTCATTATATCTCCGTGCTCCCAGGTACCAGACCCTGTATCAGGTCGGTGTGCTGGTGTCCCGATCCTCTCTGTGCTGCTTTAAGTTCAGGAGAGTGTGGATTTTCTCTTTGCTGCAGGTAAGAAATTGACCATTACTGAAAAGGTTCATGTAGTAACTTCTACATAAAAAGATAAAAAATTATAAATCCTAATAAACAACAAGGTGCAGGATCATTGTCAACAATGGGTGAAGGTGCTGCAAAATGACAGCAGGCAGAACAGAGTCCTCCTGCTCAGATCTGTGGCTTTTCTTTATTAGTTAAAGAAATGTTATTGACTACACTGCGAAAAAAATTAAGAAGTAAGTAAAAAAAAAAATCTTAAACTAAGTGTGTTTACCCTTAATTTGAGGAGGTAAATAAGATGATTTGCCAATGGAATAAGTATTTTTACTTTCAAAATAAGATAATTAGATAAAATGTACTTGAAAAGAGACGATGCAATTGTTTTTCTTCAATTCAAGAAGAAAAGTACCTATTTAGATTTCTATTAAACTGCAATGGAAACAAAAGATGCACAACAGAGAGCATAGCTGCAGTCAGAGGATTTGTGTTTCTGGTTTCATAGCAGTAAATTAGACGCACAAGCATCATTTCATGGGCATTATGAAGCATCAGTTAAAGCTTCTCTCCTGAACCACAGCGATGCGCCCGGTCTGCAGAAAAAGATGTTACTGATCCTGGTATTAACCTCGCTGCTGTTTACCGCCCACCAAAATAAAATAATAAATAAGAAGGAAAAACAAAAAAAAGTGTGTTGGTGGTGGGCGTGAACGCAGGGAGGATCCATCGTCCTCACCTTCTGGCTCACCCTATGATGGGGATGAAGTCTGCAGCAGAACTGACGGTTTCCTCCTGTGAACCCCCTTTATACCAAAACGCTGCCAATACGCCATTATACAGTAGCTGGAAGTTAGAAACACGTTCAGCGCTCGTCTGGAACACGACAGATACGATGATATGCGTTGGATATTTCCATTTATAAGGGATATGCATGTGATCAAAAACAGTTTCTGGCCCTATAAGGGTTAAAAAGGTTCAAAGGGGTGTGAATACTTCTGGAACTCTGTGTATTATAAGTTACGCAGAAGTTATGCTCAAGTTACTCAGAGGTTTAGGATCAGCTAGACGCCACGACTGATGAGGAACTGACACTGAACGGATGTCGACCATCAGATAGCTGACCTGGAACTGATGGACCACGGATGGCAGACGCTGGCATACGAAGTACTCGTCGTATGTCGACCTGTGCCAGCGTGTTTCCGTGTGCTTCAGCATCCTCATAAATTATCCAACATGTATTCCAGCGTTTTTGCCAGATTTTTCGTACATCAGCCATACGCTGGTCTAAATCGTCAAGGTGTGACAGCGGCTTTAATAAGATGTGATTATAAGGCGCCAACACTAATTCCTTCAGCCAGGTTATAACTGATTTTATGATCCCCGTTGAGTAGGGGTGTGCAAAATAATCGTCATGACGATGCATCGCGATTCTATATTTTGTGATCTACTGCATCGATTCTTGACGCCAAGTATCAATTCTTAATTTAAAAAAAAGAACAAATAAAATCCATGAATGGTTGGCGCACATCAGCCAAACCAAGTGGAATACAACTTCCAGTCCAGCAGATGTCGCTGCGGATGTGTTGACGCCCGCTGCTTTGTGTCACAAGGCAGCGGGATACTGAGACGAGTCATACGAAATAAAACATGGAGGACACTGAGAAAATTCGCCCTGCGGCTCCATCACATTTCAAGTCAGATGCTTGGATGCATTTTGGCTTTAAAAACAAAGAAGGTAAAAACTAAATTGATATGATGCACGTCATTTGCAAAAGGGGAAATATACATTTGAATGTTTTCGTTTCATTGGTTTAAAGGACCACTGAGGCCATGTAAACGGCACTGATTATCCTTATTTTGTTATTTTAAGTTTGATGAATCCTAAGATCTTTTTGTCAGTGTGTCCACGCCAGTAATAATAATATTTCTGTCCAGTATTTGTTTTCATGGCAACACCTCCAAAAGTCATTTCAATAAATACAGCTATGTTTGAATTCAGTTGCTTTCAGTTATGTATCAATTGAAGACTCTATCCAGATCACACCCAGTGAGCCACTGGTAAGGGCTGTATCTAACAGTGTTCAGTGAAAATATCGCAATTCATCGCAATATTTCAAGTATCATGATGCATCGTGATTCAAATCGAATCGTGACTTCTTTGCCAATACCCACCCCTACCGTTGAGTGACAGCTGTCATCGCAGCTGCCTGAATGGCATTACGTGCACAGCAGTGGAGCTGTCGGACTCTGCTACCTTTTTTGTTTTGTTTTATTCTTGGTTGGCTAATGGTAGGGCTAGTAAAATTCTTGATGGGCTATAGACTATCCCATCGCCACCCTGGCACCGCCTATGCACCAGATGGACTTGTGAAAATCTTCCAATTCTTTAAGAGAGCCAGAGGTGGCTGAAGCCAAGAAGAAACTTCATGGTAGGAATTGTCACTCTCTGCCTGTGGACAGCTTTATTCACAAAGGGAGTGGGGGCCTTGTGGGCAGAATCCACAGGTTCTGAGTTCGAGCCCCACTCCCACAGACTGCCACTCTCTGAGCAAAGACCCTTAACCCCACACAGCTCCCTGGGCGCCGTAAAATGGCAGCCCACTGCTCCTCAAGGGGATGGGTTAAATGCAGAGAGTTAATTTAGTTTGCTCTGTACTTTTGACAGTGTTATGCCAATGAAATAAAAAAAAATAAAAAAGCAACTCGTGGTTTATGGGAGGAAGGGTAGTGGAGAGCTGACCAGACCAGAAAGGATCAGTCCATAGACTGAAAATAAAGACTAAAAGCAGCAATCTGCAAAGACAGCTGAAAAAGTTAGACCTTTTTGAAACAGGCTTCATTTGAGTGAAGAAAAATGGAGGACTATGTCTTCAATTCAGTTCAGTTTATTTCTATTGCACCAATTCACAACACATGTCATCCCAACACACTTTACAGTTCACCAGATCATCCAGTTAAATTGATTGGTGTGACGGGGGCATTAGTGAGCATCAGTGAAGCAGGTCAGGGTGCCCAAAACCAGCGTTCTGAGTTTGATCTCAGTTTTTTTACAACGATAATATTTAAAAGATTCGTTCCTCTGCTCTTCTCCTGTCACAGATGCTGAACTTGGTCATTCTCCTGTTTGCGGTGCGCTTCCAGTTCCTGCCCAGCGCCTGGATCGTCTTCGCTCTGATCCTGTATGAGGGTCTGCTTGGCGGAGCGGCTTATGTGAACACCTTCCACTTCATCAGCAAGGAGGTAACGTCTTCGCTCTGTCAGATCCTTCCTTTCAGAGAATAGAAGATGGAAGTGGAGGTAAAACATCTGGCAAAATCTGGGTCTGATGCACAGATGTGGACAAATTACTTCATACTTTTGATAAAGATGGGAAAGAAAATTACAGTGAATAATTATTTCAGAGCTATAATCTAATTAAAAAAAACATTTTTGAGCTGAGGAATATTTCATGCTAAGAAATCATTTTCCGGGCCTGCAGGGGGCGCAGTGGTTAACGCGCACGGCCCACGTATGGAAGCCTTAGTCCTCAACGCGGCCGACTCGGGTTTGAATCTGGCCTGTGGTCCTTTGCTGCATGTCTCTGCCCCCCCCTCTCATTCCCCCTTTCCTGTCAGCCTAATTTAGAAAAAACAAGCCACTAGTGCTGTAAAAAACTTACAAAAAATAAAAAAAACACTCAAAAAAAAAAAGGAAGAAAACCACCACTGGAGCAAAAAGTGTGATCTGTGGCTCTCCATAGAAACCGTTAGCAAGAATCTACAGACCAACCAATTATTAAGGAAGGGTGCCTAGATGAAATATATTTTGACCTATAATCAGAAATAGAAACATACAGTTACCTAAAGTCCTCTCTGTCTCTAAATGGAGCGGTTCAGGTCCCAGCCTGGTAGGCTGAGCTGGACAGAAGAAAGAATCAGATAGACCCAGGACTGGTTCATCTGGATCTAATCAATCAAATAGTAAAAATCCTCATTAAAATAGTGCGACCCACAGCAATATCCACCTGTTATCAGCTGTGCTCTTCCTTTTAGATTTCTGTTTGAATGAGGAATTAAGAGCTCCTGCCTTTTATTCTTGTTTTATCCAAATGTGTGTATTTTGATAAAACAAATACACACATTTGGATTAAAGGATTGCATTTTAATATGTAATCCTATTAAAACGTTCCTTTTTTTAAGAATATTTGTTTGTAAAATATTTTTCTCTTTTAAATCAGGATTTCCACGGCTCATTAAAAATCCTTAAAAGTCATTAAATAATTATTTTTCTAATTAAGGCATTAATTGGCATTAAAATTCATTAAATGTGATTATTGTGGCATTTAAAATGCTTTATAAAAAAAAAAAAACATTTTTAAAAACAGCTTTGTCGGATATATTCAGGGTTCCCGCGGGTCCTTAAAAAGTCTTAAAAGGCATTGAATTCTTCAAAATAAAACTAAGGCCTTAATTGGTATTAAAATGTCTTAAATCAGTCTTTCATAGGTCTTAATTTTTAAAACATCATAAATAGGATTATTTTTATTACGCTTTATTTTTGTAATCTAAATAAAACGTTAAAATTGACAATTTAAAAAAAAAAAATTTTATTAAAAAGTAACGGCTCGCCATAATTGGTTCCGTCCCGATAGCGGAACCAATAAAGCGTTGTTGCGGCCGGGACATTTGGGAGATGCTCCATTAACTTTTTGTCTGGAAAATATGAGCAAGTGTAAATGTAACCAAAATTGTCTCCAGCCAAGAGTTTTCTCCATGGCTAAAACCAGGGAACATACATGAGGCTCAGTGGATTTATGCAAGAAGTCATTGAAGCTCAGAACGATGGGAATTAAGGCAGTGGAGTCGCACATGCGAAGCACGAAACACAAAGCGTCAAAATGGAGTTACAGAGAAACAGCCGGTATTTCTCAGTTTAGTTCCACCCTTGTCTCTGCAACGCCTCCACTTATCACCAAATCAAACAGACTAAGAAAACCATACAAAGAAAAATAGCTGCAAAAAAGACTTAGCACTGGTTATGTTGGGGCTTTAAAACTGATTTGTTTTGTTCCCTGCTAAAACAAAGTTTGTGAATTCAGTTAAATAATTGTTAAAATATATCTGTCATTTGTGTGTTTTTAGCTTTCTTCCTGTATGGGAAGCTTTTCAAAATGTGAAACATTAGTGCAGTGGTTTATGTTAAAATAAACCTTTGGGTTAAGTTGTCGCAAGCAGGTTTTTCTTGTGTTTCTTGTGAAATTGGTCTTAAATTTTATATTTCAAGTGGCATTAAAAAGTCTTAAAAAGTCTTGAATTTAACTTGCCTTATGCTGTAGGAACCCTAATATTATATTAGATATAACTGGTTCCGGAGCTGCTTCCGGATGTTCGTAAAGCTGTATATTCAGAAAAGGCAAGGAATTCAGGACATGGCTGCAGCCTGTCGACGGTAAAAATGACGAAGGATTTTGCAGTGTTTTTATATATAAATATATACTTGTTGATGGCATTAAAATTATTTCTATTATTTCTGCATTAAATAGCATTGAATTAGAGTTACCCATTCCTTGATAAATGTGTGGTTAGTGTGAAGAGTATAGATTAGAGCATCCTGACTGGCTGGAGAATCCTGGTCTGCATCTTTATAAACACCTGTTGAGTCTTTCCTGATGGACGTCTTTTCTTCCTCAGACTGAAAGCAGATACAGAGAGTTCGCCATGGCAACCGCCAGTGTTGGAGACAGTCTGGGGATAGCCCTGGCTGGAGGCGCTGCGTTTCCTGTGCACGATTACTTCTGTTCCCTGTGACGAAGCCTGCGCCTCTACCAGCAGGACGGATAAGCAACGCTTCGGGGATTCGTTCAAATCAGCAAGGCTTGTTAAAAGGAAGATTCCTACGACTCGCACACATTCAGAGAGAAATCCTCCTGCATTCATTCATTCACAACAGATGCATCAGCTGCATCTTAATTCTATGTCCAGAGTGTTGTTGTTTCTCTGGGCTGTCTTTCTTATGTTATTTTACCAATATTTTTTCTATATTGCACTATGTTTTTATCTTCTGTTAACTTAAGCACTTTATTTGAAGGTTCTTTATAAAAACTGGTTTTATTACTCAGATTCATCAGGAGGCCAACAGCAGATATTAAGGAGAGCTCTGGTTCCTGTAAACTGGACCTTCAGTTAATCCCTTAACTGTCAGGAGAACATCTGTGTCCTGAAGGAAAATATTTATCACTTCTAAGCACCATTAACTAAAAACTGGTTCCCAGTAAAGCTAACTGGACTGTGTAGTGGAAAAAGTTAAAGTGTGACCTTTAGAAAGCCATCAGGGTCTTCAAATGGTTCAATAACAGCATTTCATTAGATTTGCCCTTTTTAGGTGTTTTGGGCATTTTTAGGGTGACAGCTGACAGATGAAAAAAATCTTTTTCTGCTATTTTCCTCTGAAACAATAATCAAAAGAATAATGACTGATGTTTTATGTTTAATATATTTACATTTTGAGGGTCGGCTTAGTGATTGTGATGAAAAGAGAGGCGATATTTACAAGCAATAACTGCAAGTGAACTCTTCCTGGCCACTAAGGGGCACCCTTACTTGCTCTCACCACTGATCTCTATGTATTCACTGTTGATAACCTGAAAAAAGGGAAGTCACTGGCTGCCATATTGGTACTCTCCACTCCCACAGTAAAAATGCCTATGTGTTACATTTGGTGGCAAAAACAAGCAGTTTTCTGGCTGTGGGAAGTCATTTTACAGGTAATTTCACAGTCAGTGGATGAACTAACCAATAAATCAATCTATAGGCCGATGGATCCTATAGTATGGAATGTAGCGTAACAGTCTGGCTATCAGACCTACTCTAAGACATTGACTGAGTTAGCCATTGATACTGTGTCTAATGTTAGAAAATAGAAAGTAGAGTATATAGAAAGTAGAGGTCTGGGTCTTGGGTTTCCATGAGCTGGATGCCGAAATCATCCGTATTAAGACAATAAAAGACCTGAAATATTTTAGTTAGTGTGCAATGAATATAAAATATATGAATGTTCAAGTTTTATCATTACATTATGGAAAATAATGAACTTTATCAAAATATGCTAATATTTAGAGAAGAACCTGTAGTTAACTGTGAAATGTCGATGTAGTAATTCTTTATTACATGCTGTCAATGTGCTGAAACACTGTAAATTATATTGATGGAAAAAAACAACTCAAACCTTTTTAAAGGCTAATGCTAAAGGCTAATGCTCAGACACAGCATAAAAGTATGCAATCATTCATGCATATAGAAAAATACTAAAGCATTAACAGACATGTACTTCTTTATATAATCTTTATATGCAAGATGTAATTACCACAACAATGTCATCAATACATGTATATCACATGTACGTCATCAATTTATCACTTTTGGCACATGTGTATTATTATGCTAAATGAAAAACATTAACTTTATTGTGATGGATTTGTATAATATTTTATATTACATGATTTATTGACTTCATAATAACTATGCAATGTGATGGGCCTATTTTTTTTATTTTTTATTCTAAGTTAAAGTAATCTAGTGATGCTATGAAACAGCCAGTCTGTCAAAGTGATAAATTTATCTTTATTTTAAAAGTCTTAAGTCCCACTGAAAAAGAGAACAGGTGGCGCACAGATTGTTTACACTGCGACCGGTCTAACTAGGGAGTACCAATATGGCGCCCTGTTCCTTCACTCCACCCCATACTACCAACAGGCTAATCCAGTGAGTTGAGATCAGTGGCTCCCTCCCCCTCTCTCTCTCTGTAGTGTTTGCAACCGGTTGATAAAGCCAACCAAACCAAGCCTTTAACTTACCGGTTCAGTAGAAAAGTGGCAAAGATCCACAAGCACCTTAGAAACTCTAGAAGTTCTTGAAATCTTTAATTTTTTTTACCTGAACACATCCCAGATTTTATCTCCTGTAACATGATTGATCGTTTGCAGGTCTATAGATGTGTTTATGGTAAAACTATTAATGTTATTTTTGGAGTGAACTGTCCCAATGTCCAGCTGGAAGCTTCCTCTCTATAACTGCCTTTTAAAAGTTAAAATGAATCAAAGCTTTTTGATATAAAAATAGATCTTTATAACCACTAAGGGCTCAACAAAGTCTTTCTATTTTAGTGCTCATGATATTTTTGATTTTTAATTATTGCAATTGCATTTTTTTATTTTTTTTTTGCCATCTATTGATAAAGGCATCAGTAGCGTCAGATGAAGATACCAAACTGGGACATAAACTGTGTTTTGTTTTAGAAGAGAAACCAACAGAACAGGTAATTACTGGGCAGGTGAAGATGCAGCTCATGGTTATTTGCTCCAAACGGGAAGTAATATTTTATGTGAATTAGTTTAAATGAGTCTAAATCTAGTTTTTAAATGTGTTTGTAAAGAATGTACAGTAACTTTATGACAGTTTAAGGAGAAGTTTAATTTATGGACTTATAAACTTTTTAAATATGTGCCTTATTTAAAAAAAAGTGCTTCCAAAACAAACCGATGTGAACATTCCTACTGACACGGAGGCATGCGATTAGTTTGGCATGTTTGTACCTCTGTTATGAATTTTTGCAATAATAAAGATGTTTGTTTTTCTCGGAATGTGCAGAAACCCTGCATTCCACCTCAGTCAGGGACCTCAGGTATTGATCATAGAAGTAACTGGTTATTTCTTCCCTTTGTGTTGCTGTTGTGTTTGGATGGAAATAAGATTTATTTTAATCTTTTTTTAATGACATGGGTAGCTATATATAACGCATTCTTTATTCTATCCCTCTTCATTTGTATTTATGGATAAATGAAATAAATCAAACCATTTCCTTTTGTTATTTAGTGAATGTTAAACCTCTATTCCAAAGTGGAAGTCTGAGGAGAATCAAGACTCTCCTGTTTTCATTTTGGTTTGTTTTTGAATTATAAAGATTCAAATATCTTTCCTTGTTTTGTTTTTTGTGTAATTTCTCTGCTGAAGTTCTTTTACGGCACTAGTGCCTCATTTTTTCAACAGCAGGCTGACAGGAAGGGTATGAGAGTATGGCAAGCAGTTTTAACATAAATTCGGTTGTAACGCCTTTACGTTCAAGATAATTCAAATTGTGTTATGACTAGACGTTTTAGAGATTTAAGATATCTAATTACATTCTGACTAATCGAAATGACGTCAGATTTACCATTAACTTGCATGGAGACGTCCATTTTAGATATCTAGAAGGAATAACTGACTATCTGAAATACATAATTCAGATATCTACGATTAAATTAAGACTAGACATAAAGTGATTTTATGATATCTCGATTTTAGTTTTGACTAGGCATATTTCTAATTAAAAATATCTCAAATGCCACCATAATTCATGATATCTTAAATGTATTTTAAGATAGGAGATATGCAGTTTTGACTAGTGAAAACTCATTTATAGATATCTTAAAAGCAAATAATGACTAGACAAAACAAATTTAAAGATATCTTGAATTGTAATTTCGACTATTCGAAATTCCTTTAAAGATATCTCTAAATGAATTAAAGATATCTTGACTGATTCAGCTTTTCCATTAAAGATACCTTAAATTGACATTCTGACTACCGATAGTCAAAATGTGTAATGATCTTTTTAAAGCTGCAGTCTGTAACATTGAGAAGAGAGCAGACTTCGACTGAAAATTTGAAGAAAAACAGGTTTCACTCCACTCCCCCACCCTCTCTGCTTCACTCATGCCCCACCTCCAAGCTCCACCCCTCTTACAGCACCTGCGCGGCTACCGCATGCGACCAGAAGCGTCCAAGCAGCGTACGCGGCATGGAGTGTGAACCGGTAAGAGCGATAACACTCACCTCCAAGCAGCTAGATGCTAGACCAACATGGAGGGTTACGATCATTAGAAAATGGACTCCTGGTGAGTTTCTCTGTATTCTCATAAAGAAGGTTGTTCCGTTTAATTCAGTTTATTTATATAGCGGCAGTTCACAACACATCATCTCAAGGCAGTTTACAGTTCAACCTGATCATCCAGTCAAATTGATTAAAGTTTAAATCAGTTATTTGCATCGACTCATTGACTCTTCAGCAATCCCTCACACTAAGCATGCTTGTAGTGACAGTGGAGAGGAAAAACTCCCTTTGAACAGGAAGAAACCTCCAGCAGAACCAGGCTCAGTGTGAGCGGCCATCTGCTGAGGCCCACTGGGGTTCAAGGAGACAGAAGCAGACATAGAATAAGAAGCATAGATACAAAAGGCAACAGTAAAAGGCGGCCCCATCCAGGAAACACACAGCCAGGCAGACGAGCTCCGAGCCAGCTCCCATGTCAGAGGATGAAGAGAGCACATCCAGTTAGTCACAGTCAGAGAAACAGGACTACACTAGAAAACAGGTCGATCTCCAACATCTAGAAACAAAGGTGTTGATGGCAGCAGCACAGCTGATATTTCTCTCCAGGATGGAGTCACAGCCAAACAGGAACAGACCAGATGAAGCTACTATGAGAAAAAGCAGAGAGAGCAGAACGTTAGAGATTGAACTAACAGATTCTGCAGAGTGGGAGAATAGAGATAGAATAAAGCAGAATGATGAAAAAAGGGTCCCTATGTCCTCCAGCAGTCTAAGCCTATAGCAGCAGAACTATAGAGATAGCTCAGGATAACCTGAGCCACTCTAACTAGAAGCTTTATCAAAAAGGAAAGTTTTAAGCCTAGCCTTAAAAGTAGACAGGGTGTCTGCCTCACGGACTAAAACTGGTAGTTGGTTCCACAGGAGAGGAGTCTGAGAACTAAAAGATCTGCCTCCCATTCTACTTTTAGAAATTCTAGGAACCACTAGTAAACCTGCAGATTGAGAGTGAAGTGCTCTGTTAGGAACATAAGGAACAATCAGATCTCTGATATCAGATGGAGCTTGGCCATTTAAGGCTTTATATGTGAGAAGGAGAATTTTAAATTCTATTCTGGATTTAACAGGAAGCCAATGAAGAGAAGCCAGTTTAGGAGAGATATGATCTCTCTTTTTCATTTTCATCAGAACTCAGGCTGCAGCATTTTGGATCAGCTGAAGGCTTTTAACTACAGTTTGTGGACTTCCTGATAGTAAAGAATTACAATAGTCCAGCCTTGAAGTAACAAATGCATGGACTAGTTTCTCAGCAACACCCCTGGACAGGAGAATTCTAATCTTTGCAATATTCCTTAGATGAAATAAGGACATTCTAGAAACCTCTTTGATACGGGATTTAAATGACAGGTCCTGATGAAAAACAACACCAAGATTTTTTACTTTATTATCTGAAATCAGTTTAATCCCATCCAAATGAAGTGACTGGCTAATCAGCTTCTTTTTCAAAGACTCTGGTCCAAAGACTATAACTTCTGTTTTGTCTGCATTCAGAAGCAGAAAGTTAAGAGTCATCCAGGTTTTTATGTCTTCAGACATGCCTGTAATCTATGTAATGGGTTAGCTTCATCTGGATTTATAGCCAGATATAGCTGGGTATCATCAGCATAACAGTGAAAATTAATCCCATGCTGTCTAATAATTCTACCGATTGGGAGCATATATAAAGTAAAGAGAATTGGTCCTAGCACTGATTCCTGTGGTACTCCACAGGTAACCTTTGAGCATGAGGAAGATCTGTTATTAACGTGAACAAACTGAAATCGATCAGATAGATAAGATTTAAACCAGTCTAGAGCTGTTCCTTTAATTCCAACAAAATATTCAAGTCTTTCTAAAAGAATATTATGGTCAACTGTATCAAATGCAGCACTGAGATCCAACAGGA